ATCCTACCAGGTAGGATGTCGGATGTGAGATTTTGGAGGCAGTTAAATGGAGATCTCGTTTCCAAACTTGCAGATTTCCATTGAGAATTGGAGATTTTGGAAGCCTTTAAATGGACCTGAAAACTGACCTGAAAAACATCCACATCCGACATCCTACCAGGTAGGATGACGGAGATTTCTATCGTTACCCCATACCATTCCCAAAAATCAAAAATATTGTTAAAACGTTCCTGGGGCCACTGGCCAGCAACGTCACTGTCCCAGCGTTCCCACATCTCGCGGACATAGAGTCGCAAGAATCGCCAAGACTTGGGCCTCACTTGGCACGCGGTCTGCGCCATGTAGAGCGCCGTTTGAGAAACAGAAAGGCCGATGAGTTGCTTGTTCTATATTGACATTTATTGGAAACAAATAATAGGGCATACTAGGGCAAGGTTCATGGCACAGATCTGGCCAATAGCTTGCTTGGGCATAGTAGCTCATGGCCAGAGCGGCAATTGCAAACTAGTTCATAACCACCACCCGAATGCCTCGTAGTCTTTCCTTTTCTCAGCTCCGGGGGCACACAGGAGTAAGCTTTCCGAGAACTCCTGGAGGCTCAAAATGATCAAAACATATCAAAACAACGGCGACGCAGCGACGGTGTAGGAAGTTGGAAAAGTTGAAAACATAAACAACATGGGCCGAAAAACAACATTCATACATGGACCATCCACCCATAGATACCCAAAGCCCTCATGTCGCGACCATCGAGAGACCCTGAGAACACGACAAAATAATCTGACCAATTCGCTAGCTGAAGTGAGTTTCAAAGCCGCGAAGGCCAGTTGGCTCGAAACGAGGAGTTTGTAAAAGTTTGTAAAAGGAATGCAGTTTGCCTCGAAGGCCAACTTCCTCACTTTCAAGCTGAAATCCTGGCTTGAATGGTCCGAATCGATGGAATGAAAAACTTTCAACCATCAGAACAGAACCGGGGCCAATGCCATCCGATTATCGCCGGCGCTCCGGAGCAAACATTGTATTATCTTTGCTGTGTGTCGGTACAGCGAGATATCAAACCATGACTGCTTGGATGCTGCCACCCGGCGCGCCGGGCGTGCCACAACCATGACGCTGGGCGTACCCGGCGCGCCGGGTATTGAAAAATGATTAGATTTTCATAGTGCGGAATGTAAAGGTATATTTTATCATAAGATATGTGGTTCTCACCGGTACCAGCGTATCCTGCAACACCCGGCGCGCCGGGCGGTTTACGCAGAAGTTTGCGCCTGAGCACCTGGCCAAGCTGATTGTGGTGCTTTGCAGCGCTAGCGCCGGCCTCAAGTATTTGAGGATCCCGACACTGGTGGGGTCGTGTGACTGATTGTGGCAAAGAATTCAATTATAGAAGATGGTTGCATAAATAATGCAGAAGTGTGAAATATAGTCGATACGGTTAAGCAGCCGTTGCTTCAGGAAGATTCAGGAATCGGGTTTCATAAAGAAGCGCTGCACGAATGGGGTTTGGCTCTGGACCCCCACACCTCAACGTCAGCCCGGCGCGCCGGGCGTACCGCAACCATGACGCTGGGCGTACCCGGCGCGCCGGGTATTGAAAAATGACTAGATTTTCATAGCGCGGAATGTAAAGGTATATTTCTTCATGAGATATGTGGTTCTCACCGGTACCAACTCAATCCATGAAACTCTCCGCGTATCCTGCAACACCCGACATAGCACCTAGACATAAATATATGTTCGCACAGAACTAAACATAGCGCCCGGCGCGCCGGGCAGTCGAAATAGCCACTTGTGTGCAAAACCTTTAGGCGCGTCTTCTGCAAACATTGTATTATCTTTGCTCTGTGTCGGTACAGCGAGATATCAAACCATGACTGCTTGGACGCTATCCCATTCGGTATCCCATTCGGGCCCCGACTTCTTATGTATATTATATAGAAATGTATATAACTAAGCTTTTGGTCAACTGCACGAGCCCCACACACAGACACACCAAAGCCACCGACCACGGAGACAATGTTTCAACCGATTTGGACAGCCATTCGGGCCCCGAACCTTCCATTCGGGCCCCGAACTTCCCATTCGGGTCCCGGCTTCTTACGTATAACATTGTATAGCAGCCAGTCTTTCACCAGAGGGCAGGTGACAGATCAAGCAACCAATGGAAGTGAAAAGGACTTGGAAGCGCGTGCTGCCAGTCGAAGCTGGCAACCTTTTGCATGACATAGAAGTCCTGGTGAATCCCACTGGTTTATTTCCGAATATTTTTCTACAGATTGGAAGTGCCATCAACTAAATGCAACCAAGGTCCCCCTACGTCCACTAAATGCAATTTGGGGACCCCCACGTCCATGCCACTTAAGGTGGGCACATCTCTACAACCCAGTGGTTTTTTTCAGGTTCCATGTTAATCTTCCAGGGTGTGCATAATGTAGTCCAGAATTGCACAGGATTGACTTTGACTCGGGGCGGCTTGTGACAGTGGGAAAGGTTCGTGATTTGTCCCGAGCAGTAAAGTCAACGCCCTGATGACCACAACCCTTTTTTCTGAGGCTGAGGTACTATCAGGAGGGTGACCATTTGGAGTATATCCACTGAAAGGTAACGAATCTGAATGTTTTTCTACTTTTTCCAATGTTGGGTCAGGGACACTGCATGGAGCAAGTTTCAATTGGGATATGATGTTCCAGAGCTTGCCCTGAAGGGGCAGCCGGCAGCGGGTGGCCCAAGAACTTGGTGTCATTGATCCAGGGGTGATATTTGGCCTGAGGCCACTGATCACAGCAATGGCTCCTCAAGCCAAGTACCATCCAAAAAAACAAAAGAACTGATTGTAAGTGCGGAAAAAAGGGCAAGTGCAGTTGCAAGCTGATGTGTGAGCACAGTTTTGATGAACTACAGTATCACAATTTATTCAAGAATGGGTTTCATGTTTCAAATTTTTTCAATGGATCCTAATGAGGACCCATGAAGATCTATGAAGACCTGCGCATACCTATGCAGATCAATTATCATATTCGGGGGGGCACAAGTGAATAGTATCCCTTCAAATGAGCCCCTACCTTCGATGAATGAAACAATTCCTTTCTTCCTGTGTGGGGGCAGAGGTTCAATTGGAACTTGTTTTGGGGGGTCTACACCAGCTTGGCAGATGACACGATATGATACACGTACATATCATATCATATCATATGATTCATATGACGATGGACAACAGACCTTGGTTCACATTGGCTATGAACAAAGACGTCTTCCATCACCACTACTGAATGGGAGCGTGCCTTTGACGACTTGAAGAGGCGACACGGCACTGTACCTAGTAGGTGAGAAGTGGTCAGAAAGAGCGGATCCACTTCCCAAGCTAAGGACATGTACAAGCTACCGGACCTCAACACAGAGTTGCAGGAAGTCCGGGATAAGCAGTTCAAGCCCTGCGGCTTAAATGTTTGAAGCGCGGGCAAACGGTCTCAGCACAAAATTGTCGAACGTCCAATTTGTTCGCTGTTGGCAAATGATAATCAATATTAATCAATGAACAAATAGTCAATGAATGGTACAGTTTGAGAAAGGATCATTCCAATATATAGAAGTTTCCTCATGTCCCATGCTGCATCCATGACCAAAGGATCTCGATGTTGGTAGTCGTTGGTGTCTTGACCTGAGGGGTTCCATTTTCAACCGAATGTCCCTAGACCGCAGACATCCCCAGACAAATGTTCAATCAGCTCCAAGACCTTTTGTTGAACCACTTGTTGCCAGGGAGACCCCGTATTGACCCGCCGAGTCTGCCGAGGCATTTGGAGGAGCTGTACCACATTGGAATCACAGGGCTCAGGGTAGATGCGGCCATCTATCATCACGTCTACGAGCTCGCGGAACCTTTGAGAAGCGGAGAGGTAGTCAGTGGAATGGAGATGGAGATGGCGGGAGAGGTCAAGAGGGGATGTTTCGTGGGGGGAGACTTTGGGGCTGTGGCTCTGTGGCTTATTTGATCTCATTTTGGGATTTGGGATGCTTTTATATGCTTTTGGTATCTATGTGTTATTGGTGAGCTTCAAGTTCAATTGGGATGTGTATATATATATAATATAAGATACGTTTTTTGGTGGTGTTTTGTGCATGTTCCTGGTGAATCTGTTGCCTCCACTGCTTTGCGCACATTTGTCCCCCAAATGGGATTTTCAAATTAACACATTTGTGTGAAGCACTTAGTGCAACAAGATGTCGATGCCATTCCGGCGAAGATCCCGAACAGGGATGCTTTCAACCGGAGACTTTGGTCTTTGATTCTTGACAGGAATGTTGGCCTTGTGACTTGTGACTGCTGTGACAGCGAATAGAGCAGTTATCTCATGTATTGAAGTAGGCTCGTTTGTCAACTAGTGTGCAACATGGACTGCAAGTGTGGCAGAATTGGGTGCGGCGTTTACTGTTTCCTGGTTTACTGAACATTTTGATTGAGATTTGGTTCTCAACAAGGTCTCAATGTTCAAGTTGAATCTTGAATCTTGAAGATCCCGGGAGGGACAGACTACACAGCATGGAACTACATAAGCATATGTAATCATGTCCTTAAAGGCTGTTCACCATGATGATCCAACGACCAAACGGCGGGACACCGGCGGGACACCGCCTTCAGGACATGTTGAATCGGCTGCCTTGGGACCTGGTCTACCAAGAGTGGTGGGGCGAATATCCCCCGCACGACCGGACGGAGCATGTGGGGCTCTACCGTGCTACGGATCAAGTGAGGAGATGGGGTGATTTGGGGGTTTTGAGGTGAGGAAAGGAATGAGAAGAGCTTGACTTCCAGATGCCTCCCCAACAACCCCACGATTTGAGGGAAGGAAGGGGAGGCGGCTTACAGCCACCGCTTCAGCTGCTAGAATCCTGCTGCGCTAGAAGTTGAAGAGAAGAACTTCAAACCTTTGTGGTCCATTGCGCTGTAGGGCCCTATCAGCCTAGCATGCTTTGGCTGAGTTCCGTTCGTGCAAAGCCTCTCGAACCCGACAGCAGCCGCAGCGATTATCAGATTGGTCTTTGTTTATTAAATATGACCACATTGTCACATAACCACAAAGCAGCTCCTGACTCGATGGTACAAGGATGCCCCCAGGCTGTACAGGTGTGCTGCTTGGTACATGCATGTTGGATCGATGCTGGCCAGGCTAACATCAACTTTGCCGTCACCATACCCATACCTACCATGTCCCCACACTGTGAGTGGAAACTTCTTCACATCCTCCTGTCCGACGCCCTTGGTTAAATTATGTTCCAATCACTTGCCATAGGTCCATTGTTCAAGACAACCACTTCTCCACCCCAGCCTCCACTACCTCCATCATCCCTCAGAATGTACTGCATTTCCTGAAACGCGCCCAGAAAACCCCCTCACCACTCTCCACTCTCCGCGACCTCACGGACTCGACTCACGCCGTCAGGTGACGTGGCCTATCGCTGGCACGTGGTGAACCGGGTCTCCAACCGCAACGCCACCGAGCTTCACGAGCTCCTGGATCTCTCCGGGGGCGTCTTCGGCATCAGCGAGGACATGGCGGTGTGACGCGGCGACCGGTCTTCGGTGCGTTGAACTCGGGGAACAAGGCTTTGGTCCCCAGAGAGCTGCAAGCTATAGGGGTTCTATGGGGTTCTTTCGATTTCTTTTTCCCTATACACCAGCTATTTGGGGTCTATGCCGGTGTTTCTTGTTTTCATTTTGGGCCATGCACCACATGACGTCCTTGGTGCTCATGATTGCGAAGGCGATGTCATTGGGGTCCCTGGAGCTTGGTCTCAGGGAGTCTGGGTCTCAGGTACCCCTTTGCCTACCACGATGGGCGGAGCAAAGATGCTTGGCTTGAGATGGATATGAGCAGTCAGGGCACGTGACAATGGTGATCCACTTGTTTCCTTTCTCAATACTTTTGGGACATTTTGGAACCCTATCGGCATAGATCCAGTGCAGTACAATCCTGACATCCTGGTTTCTTTTCGAGCCTCTCGCGTGGGTTTGGTGTTCAAAAACAACGGGACATGACGTGGGAACATCGGCTTGCAGGCCTCATTCTCGGCCTTCTCACAGGCCTAGGGACGAGGCCTCGGTGGACGATCACATGTGGTCGACCTCACGAGTTCGGGGGAAACGGCGAGAGACCAACATGGCAAGTTTTGTTTTGTATTGTTTGTTGCTACGCCTTCTGAAGATGTTACCATAGTTGCCATAGTTTGCAACCCCCGCTATGGATGAATACTTCACTGAGTGTGGAAGCCATTGGTTTTGGATGGTTTTGGTACAGATAGACGGCGGGTGGCTTCCGGACGCTGCGACGGTCGCAGTGTTTGGCGCTCAGGATGCTGATCCGGAGATCGCCACATACAAAAATGGGCTGGTGGCCCGGTTGGCAAGATGCTGCCAGATGTTTTGCTCGACCCTGACACAATCCTCTTTACGTTTGAGAAAAGCCGGGGTGCACCATGGCAGTCAGTCCTGATGGATTTTTGGATCAGTAAGTGGCTGCCAAACAGGAAGCATCGTGTGTGCAGTGTGTGCTTCATGCGAGGCGGCATTGGTTCGCTGCACCGGGATTGGTTCCCTGTCGCACCACTCATTGTCAGCCTTATGACATGCTTGGTGGACCCAAACCCCGCAGCACCTTAAGATCATTGCTATATGTCCTATCTCATTGATATTCAATGGTGGATCAGCTTTGCAGGCAGTTGCATGCAGTACTGGTACAACTAGATGTTCCCTCCGTCTCAGATCACGAGTTCTTGAAACGACTCAGACGCCCCACATATGTTGAGGCGTTTCACCAGCAGCAGAAGTTCTTCTTGTCCTGGATCGTGGGATGCTCGGACCTTCTTCGGATGAGACGGCGTTGTTCGAAACGAACGGCGAGCGTGTCCAGCGTGGACGTCCGACTCACTGCGGTTTTCTCACACCAGACACGACTCATGGGACTGGCATGTGAATCCATACATTGGGGGTGGTTGGCTCAAAACCAATGTAGGCATCTATTCCATACATTCATGGAGCTCTTTGGGATTGATCCCACAAGAACCCGCTGCAAGTGGGAGCTCGAAACCCGCCTGAACTCCTCGTCATTCCTCTAAGGAAGCTCGGTGCTCATCTGGGGTGGCTACGGCTGGCGCGACTTGAGCCACGGACCTCCTGGCTGCGACCGGGCAGATGGAAACCACTGCTCACCGATGAGAGCCCCTTGGGGTCCTTTAAAGTGAGAGGGGAGAGAGGCTGCCTGGCAGCTACCTCAATGAGCCCTAGCTCTTTGATGGGTGCCCCCCCCCAAAGGAAAGACATCACAACAACCCGGTTTTGGATACTTGAGAGGTTGTTTCCAAGTTTTTGGTCGATGAAACTTCCATGCTGGTCATTTATTGGGTCCTTTGGGTTTGAGTGGGCTCCAATTTGATGCAGAGTGTTCACCGTTCTTTGAAGAACATGAAACATCATGAAACCACATTTTGAGGTGCTTTGAGTTGCATTCATCGAAGCATTTGTTGAATCTTTGTAGCACATCCTAGCACCTTCTCAGGAGGAGAAAGACGGATTGGGAACCAGACGGTTTAGGAGAGTCGCAACGAAGTGTCATGTGGAGTGTAAGTACTCCGTGGGGCTTCTGCACTGGAGGAGGGAGGCTGGTTGGAGGCTGGTTGGAGGCAGCAAGGAGTGTTGGTGTTTGGATTTCTGGGAGACGCGGTACGCGGTGGACAGAGTTTCCCGGCCAGTTGTCATCCAGCGGGTGCTGAAGCCATATGCAAACAAGTCTCAAAGAAGGGCTTTGTTCGCAGGCTGGGTGTAGGTTTCCCGTTCCACAGATCCTCCTGACATCCACATCTTGTTTGTTGGGTTTAATTTGCTTTGTGTATGCATATAAAATACCTATAATATATACTTATATATACACAGTAGTAGTTAATAACCATATGTTTACCATGTGTTGTTTAGTTTGGTCTTTTTCGTGAAGAGTGTTTGCCCCACCTTGTCGGCAACAGTGCGCTCAATCACTTCCTCCACAAATTGGAGGATCACCTTCTCCATGGTGCGATCTCAATCACTCACCAAAGATCATCAAGCACTAATTTACGTTGCTTCAAGAAAAATCCACGGAATCAAAGGCACGTGACGGTCACGCTATGTCAAGCTCAGAAGGGTCCCGCTTCATCCGCTTCATCGATCTCCATCAGAGATCTCGTGACCGACTTCCTGCCGAGGTCTATGATGATGAGGGTCGAGACCCTCATTGCATGCCAGCACCCACGCAATCACCCATGCCACGATTGGAAGCCCGTGATGTGGCGAAGAGACGGATGGGCTGATGAACGATGAGTCGCTGAAAAGCTGATCCAACCTCATCCACCGCAATCTCTTGTCGGTACATATCTATATAGATGGAGTGAACTATATATTTTCTAGTGCCCACTCATTTTTAACTACTATGTTTAAACATATTATATATTATTGTTTTTGTGACTGTCAAGGTTTTAAAAGGAAACATTCGTAAGATGCGGGGAACTGTGGTGTGTGTATATATATATATATATACAGATTTATGTTACAATGAATACTTATTCACAGGGAACTGTGGGTGGGGGAGAGTCGAGAGATCCAGCATGGTGGTTTTGTCTTCTCTAGTCGTCCCACTGGGTCTTGGCACGTGGGATGCAAGGGTGATGTGTTTTTTTGCCTTTATGCCAGCGCTGTCCGCGGTGATCTCCTTAAACAGTGACGACCCGTTGGTCCCAAGAAGCTTGTGCCGAGAGGGGGGCGCGCTGGCGCACCCCTTCAAAAGCCACCTGCCCAACCCTTTCAGACGGGGACCTTTGCCCTTTCAAGCTTTCCTGAAGGGCTTTAGCACTTCCCACCTCCAGGTTCGAGCCGAACCTTCGCTGCCGGTCCCCGCAGCGCCCGAGGACAGCGCCGCTGGGTGTGCGAGCATCGTTGGCCGGGCGTCAGCGGCATGGTCCACTTTCGGAAGAGCTGCCGGAGACATCCGCTCACCCAGTGGCTCGGCGCAGGCGCTGGTTGTCCCGCGGCGAATCCCGTGCTATATATAGGCCCTGATTGGTTTGTCGAGCAGGATGCTTGAAAAACTCCTTACTTCATGGATGTTGGGCCGTAGGATGCCGCAAGCTACCAAAAGGTAACTCGTGGGATTCAAGGCTGCATACTAAGGCAGGCAGCCTTTTTGCAAGACTTGTTGTTTTGCCAGCACCGTGAGTGTTTCCACAGTCGTTGATTCAGCCAGCGGTATGCGAAGATCACGAAAAACGTGTCATTTGGCGGTCATGTCCAGCTCGGAGTGCCTGCAACATCATGCGTGATGGACGTTCAAGCTTGAAGAGTAGGTGAGTGATGGGAAGTTGCGTTCATCCCGTAATTCGCTCGTGAATTCCAGCTGCAATAAGGACCTGGCGCCATGGCGAGGGCGTGGCCCTGGGGCGCTTGGCCTGGCGCTTGGGTGAAGACTGTTTCGTGGCCTTGGTCCGTGGTCGGCGACCCGGGGAACTGGACCAGGCGCTGCGGCGCTCAGCGAGAGCCGAGCCGAGTGATCCCGACCGGGATCTCTGTTTTGGAGGGTGTTTGATTGGCCGGATGGTCGAAAACAGATGTGACATCCCACCTATTTTGCGGATTGAAAGACCTGAACTATCCTGAACTTGTGTAATGTATGCGATGATCACAATGGTTTAGATGGTCACCTAGCGACATATAGTTACACAATTTTAAGAAGCAATATACAGTAGTTTCACACTAGCTGCACGAAAGTTCTCAATGCAGGTTTCAGGCGAATTGGTCGGAGTTGGGTTGCTGCACCAGGCCGCTCCAGCAACCGCTATACAACGAGTTTTAAGCTTTGGTTGGCCTTTGTCCTTTCCAGCTGTAACATTCAACAACCTGTGCTTGACATTCATGAGAGCAATGGACAACAACAAACCTTCTTAAGTGCCTTAGGTGTGGACATCTCTATCTTCCATCCCCACATCAGCTCCAAGCCTGCCAGGAAGAGGTGGTGGGTGTTGGTGGGCCCTGGGACCTGAAGGGTCTGCAGATTGGCTTGCCTTCGGGCCGTTACTGCGACCTCTCTTCGCTGGAGACCCAGAACGGCTGGACAGAGAGCAGGCCCTGTCCAAGGAGAGGGGTGTAGTGTCCGGTGTCCTGACGATGTCCTGGTGAATGGGCGGAGACAACGCGTGTCAGAGGCTCCAGTTGGGTGGACGTGTCGGGCGGACTGCGGAACTTCTGCCCGAAGACAGGGTTCAATGTTTGAGATGGTTTGAGTACATCCGCAGACCTTTTTTGGACGCTGTCTGTGGTCTGAGACCGCCAGCTACAGTAAGTGAAACACCTGCAAAACCAGGAAGACTTGTGGGTGTGATAGTAGTCCAACACCACCTTGTTGCTGTTTTATCATGGGTCATAAGTCATTGACATGTCACACAACCAATGAGAGTGGAATCATGTGGCATATAAGTAATGCGGACTGCGCGCGCACGCATATACACGCACACACGCTCAAACAACCACTCGAGAAACACCTACTGTACCGCCTTTGCACGACTGAGAGAAAAATGAACAAAGATCACCTACCACATGACACCCGCAAAGAGATCTAAAATCTATGATGTAATTATGATGGACTTGTTCCATGTGTTTCTTGTTAATCCGCCTTGGACCGTGCTTTTTGTCCGGCCCTACTCAGCGAAACCCGCAGGACCGTTACGGTGAGTGACGGCATCATCCAGGAGGGCTTGGTGACTGAGGGCGAGATCTTGGCCGCTGAGATGGTTGTCACGGTTGGGATGGTTCGATTGATGGGATCTAGGCAGGGAGTGAACCATGTGAACTTGGTTCTTTTCACTCGTCATGCGGAGAGAGGGAGAGAGAGGAACGAGGCAGTTGTAGGTTCCGGAAGGGTTCCATGCGGTACAAGCGACAGTAGGAGTAGGCCAGGCTATGTTTTGGTGAGATGGTCCGGCGTAGCGCAGACATACAATTACACATGTCGTAGGTCGTAATGATATAGTGAAGTGTGATGTAAGAATATCATGAAAAACTGGATTAGAGAGTGTGGAGCCCCACAGATGCCACCTACAGACATGTTGTTGGACGGATCAACGTGGTTTCAATGATTTTCAGGTTGTTGGAGAGAATGAGTTGTATCAATATCCCAGGATGTTCGATATTTGCTATTTATTGGGAATCACTGGGCGCTATGAGGTTGTGCTTCACTCTTTTGTTTGTGTGGCTGTGGGGGGGGGTCGTTTCTCCAAGGCAATCCACACTGGTGCAAAAGCACCCACGGCGTTGGTGGCAACCGCATGAGGTGCGGATGTTGTGAAAGTGAAGGCTTACAAGACTCAGCTTGTTGCTTCAAAGCTCAATCAAGTCTTGCCAGAGATGGTTTTGGTGCGGCCAGGGAGAGGTGTACAGTCTAGAGTTCACGATCGGTTCCCAAACAGGAGTGATGGCGAACGTTTTGGACGTTTCTACGTGGTCGGGAAAGCGGGGCCAGTGGCACGACCAGAACGATGGTTCACCATCGCACCCTTGGGGACGATCTCCTCCTGCCGGGCCCATGCCAACCCAAGATTTGCAGCTTCACGATGTTCGGAAACATGTAATGTAACATTTAAATGCTAGTTCTGTCACTTGACGCCTCAACTCCCATGTGATTTGCACCCAGTATGTATGTCACTTGCAACCGTTTGTCACCCTCTGTGGAGGCTTTGAGAAAGGACATCGAGTTGGCGCGGGAAATGGGTTTCAATGGAGCGCGATTGCATCGGTCTTTGAACCGCTCTACTTCTCCCTGGCGGATGAGCTAGGATTCATGGTCTGTGAGTTCCCTGATTGGAACGATGGTTCAAACCGCTGGGAAGTCTCGGATGAATATCAGGACCTGCATGGACCTGGCGACCTGGAACGACAGGGCCGATTAGCTGGGCCGAGCTTTAAAAAAGCTGTGCTGCATGTGCCAATTAGCTTTCTAGGGGCCGGTTCCTGTGGTGCCTAGGTGAGTTCAGGATGGGCAAAGAAGACAATGACTCATGACAGAACATCTCTCTCACGCCTTCACATGGTTGTACAGGACGGTCACATGACACTCCCCAAAACTACCTGTCATGTCCTGTCCATAGATGCTTCTTTTCTTGACTTTCTGGGCCGGGTCAACGAAGTCACAAATAGGGCTAAGATGGGCCAAGTATACCCTTCAAATCGGCTACGACGGTTGTGATGGAGAGAGACAAGGAATTGGTCGAACTTGAGGACTCATCGAGGCACTGTAGCGAACCATCCACCGGACGTCGGAAGGATCCCGCTGAGCTGGGTTCGAGCCACTTCAAACTCATGAGTTGCGGGATTCCAAGATGGAGCTCATGCAATTGTTTTTTCCTTGGTGTGGGGCAAGGGGGCCTTGCCACTTTGCTAAACTGGAGTCTCCCTGGAATTTTCTTGCTGATGCCAACCCAACCCAACCCAACCCACCCCACCGGCAACAACAACAACAACAGCAAGAAGAGAAAGAAAGAACATACTCAGGTCGAGCTTAACGCGGCCCCCTATTTCTCAATCAGCTGGCCGGCCAGTGGGCCAAAAAGCATAGCCCCAGCCGGCCTGCCGGCCGGCCGTGACTACCAAAACTATGACTACCAGCTCTGCTAGTAGTTCTACCACCACCACCACCACCCCTACCAGTACTGCTACAACTTCTTCTGCCACCACCACAACTACAACTGTACCACCACCACCGACCACCACTACTACTACTACTCCTACTACTACGACGACGACGACGACTGCTCCTTTGCTGCTGCTGCTACTGCTACTGCTACTACTACAACAACAACAACTACTACTGCTGCTGCTGCTGCTACTGCTACTGAGTGCTACTGCTACTGCTTCTACTATTTTTGAGTCCTATGCACGAAAGCTAGCCTTAGCTAGCTGGAGTTGCTCTTGCTTTAGCAAGTTAAGTGACGGGGTGGACGCACCTCAGAAACCTCAAATAATTGATTAAAGCAATCTTATGGACCACCCCCCCCGGGGGTTCGACTCCCCCCTGCGCGCGGTGAGCGGGACCACCAAGCAGCTGCAGCACACCAAGCATCTGCAGTCTACCACCAAGCAGCTGCAGCAAACCACAAAGGAGCAGCAGCAGCAGAAGCAGCAGACCCAGAGCAGCAGCAGACGACCGCGGCACAGCAACCGCTGGAAAACCAAGCCAAAGAAGTGATGGAAAGGGGGCACCAAACAAAACCTGCTCCTGTCAGGTGGCAGTTGCTTACTGAATGAGACTCGACGCACCACAAAGCACATACTAACACTGCTTCTCTAGAGTTTCCCACGGGACTTGCAAGTGGACCGGCAGTTACCCAATGAGAGTGACTGTGCAGCCCGCCCCCGACTTGTTTGGACGAGGAGGCCCGGCTAGCTTTCGTTCACCCCCTCTGGCCTCATTTGTTCTTGTTTTGGTTCCCGTTTGTTTTTCTTATTTGCAGCAGTTGCTGAGTCGCTGGTGGTTGCTGGGATCAACTCTGCTGAGTTGAGGGCCCCTCAGCAGGTAATCAATGTTCCGCACAGGCAATAAAAGCCGCGCCGCGCTCTTAGAACACCAAAGCGAAAGCCGAAGCCATGCGATTTTGTGGTGCTGTAGATAGAACAAGCAGGTTACATGTTGGTTGTGTACTGTTGGATTGGTTTGGTCGTGATGCATTTCTTGGAGGCTGACAGCATGCAAAGGTAGGCTGTGACATTGTGACAAAGCTTGCTAGACCCCTTGACCGCACCAGCTCACTGTCCAAAGAGACCCCGAAGTCCTCGAACTCGTTCGGAAGGGAGTCAGAGGAAGGTGACAGAAAAATTAGGTGAGTACTGTAGTGGAGAACTACTGTGGAGAACGTTTTTCGAATTTCAATCAATTTGCACTTCAACATGTAGAAGTTCAATGAAGTCCACACCAAGTAATTACATTTGTGTTTGGCATTGTTTGGCAAGCACTTGGGAAGGAGCGCCCAAACCTTGTTCGTGATCAGATGCCTGTTGACCCCATATGCCATTGAGTTTACCCTCAAAACCCCTGTGGATAGGAAAAATCGGAAAAGTCTTACAGCAATTTGTTTCATCGTCCATGCCTTGGGAGGGCCATGCATTTGAACACATTCCTCGTAAACCCAAGCCTCAGAGTGTATCTCCTGAATCCCCTGAGCCCCAGTCGCTCATTGCCCTTATTCTAGATGGGCAAGGGCCAACAGCAGTTTTGGAACCAGTGGAAGACTCCTTTCCGAATCAAGGTGGGCGTTTGGGGTGGCCTTGGACGTTATAGATCTTAGGATGCTGAGGTGCTTGCTGGATGTTCAATCATGTTGAACCCAATTTGAAAACCTACTGGAGACATTTCTTGCTGACACAGCCACCCCACTTGGCGGCAAGACCATGTTTAATTTGGAAGATTGCGAGTGCCAGTCTACAAGTTGTGAAAGGACCTTGGGTCCGCGAAAGGCCCGATAGAAACAGCGAAGGGCATGCGCAGGTGGACATACAGATATACATGATTGATTGTCCTGTTTACAGCCCTTTCAGCAAGAGGGACTACCGCCTACGCGACCACCTTTGTGCATGATGTTTCAGTACGTAACACCCCCCCATGGTCCGCAAATTCAAAGGATTCTACTACATCCGGCTAGACAACCATTTTCGGCTGATGATTTTTCTTTGAGGATCTGGCAAGATCTGGCAAGCCCGTTGCTATTGCGCGTGTTGATTTCCCTTTTTCCCCGGAAACGTCGGGCTCAAGTTGCCCAGTTGCCCGGACGCGCGAAGATCGGGTGGACGGATGTAAAGCAACGCTGGCACCCCGGCACATCGATAAGGAATAAAGACCAAGCACAACCAGAGACCTAGTTGCAATGGCCTCCACCCTGGAGTGGTTTCAAAGGCAAAATGCCACAGACTCCCAGAGGTGGTTTAGTAGCTTGTCACCCAATGTAGACTCTTGATGAGTATCACCGCCCCATTTGGAACTTGTGAAATGCATTTTCACATCTGGTCAGGGGAGTCCAACGGAATTCCATCAGATCACTGGAAGCTTCGGGGATGACTTGAGCGGGTCCACCCAACCGTATCGGCGTCCACACGGTGCACAAAGCGCCGCACCAAGCGCCGCACAAACGCCAGACGCGTCGCCGTAGATGAGAAGAGGTGGCTGTTGAGGACCGTTGGCTGTTGAGGTGGCCACATTTATATACAGATTCGACACACTCCCCGGAAGCATTTTGCAAGTTGAACCCCCCCCCAAAAAAAACAACAACAATGATTTGTAGAGGAAGATGGTCATCCAAGGGGCCATGCAACAACCCCCAACAGATTCCCTGATTAGCCTGCCAGTTGAATTACTATAGTCAAATAGGGTTACTAGGGCAGAGCTTTGAGGAACAGGGTCTCACTCGCGGCAGACCGCGCCGCAGCCCAGGGTCGCAACCTGGGAACCGCACCGAAACGGTAGCGGCGGAAAAAGGGTCTCCCACGGTAGAGCGGACGATTCGAGGTGGTTGGGGGGGATGTGTGTTCATTCCTTATTTAATTAATCTAGCTTATTCATGATGTTGAAGCAAGCAACCCACGAAAGGACATCCCACATCATCCTAAAACTTGGAATTTTGTGGGGTGCATTGGCCAGTGCATATTTTGTGGGGTGGTTCCAGTATATATATATAATTACCTTTGTCAAGAAATACATGTTTTTCAATATGTTCAACGAAGTCAGATGATGCCTCAAGTGTCAGTGTGGTCTTGACACCCTTGACTTCGAGGTCTTGAAACCCTGGTCTTGAAACGGCTGTTTCGGGGGCGCAGGGAGCAGCTTCTATTTAAGATTGCTGCAGGTCCCCGGCCTTGGTTGAATACAGGTTTGGTACAGGGCCAAGGCAAGGCTTGTATTTAAGATTGCTGCAGGAGTTGTTCAGGTTTGGCATGTGAAAGCAGACCCCAGACTCCCCAAGAGAAAGATCCATGAAGACTCCTTCGAGAATAATCAATCCTGCTGCACGTTGGCTTAACAATTGTAACAGCGCGAGATCGAAACGCGTGGCGCGGGGGCTGCATGATGCCGCGTGGCCAACAGACCCATTCTTTAGAAGATGATGTCCTTGCAGAGCATGTCTATCTAGGCAGTTTAAACGTGGGCATAGGCAAAGAGACCATGATCATGAATCATAATGTATAGCGTATAACATCGTATAACATATAATTAGAGATGAGTCGGGTCTAGTAGAAAAAATGCAACTATGGGGAGATCAGCAATTTAATCCTACATTTGGAGACCAAAAGTGCCTCGAACAAGGCACACCCCCGAACAAAAGTGCACTCATTGAGCCCAGAACAGCAGCAAGGCTTGTGTGACTCTCTGACAGCGCGTCCGCTATGAAAGCAATAGCTCTTTTGACGCTCTCCTCTTCGGCGCTAGCAGCCTGTG